CAAGTGTTTTTGAAAGTAATAAATAAATTGAACACTGTTTTCATTTTTTTTACATAAGCAAACTTCAGATATTTGGTTTATATTAAGAGGGAAGAAGCACATAGATGCACTTAATTTCTTAAATTTTCTATATCTTCTTCTCAATTATCTTAATGCTTAAAGCAAACCTATTAATTAGCAAACTAGAAATGAGTCCGTGCATATATTTAGGGCGGACCTCTATTATGACAAGTGGTGTCACATGATACCACTTATTCGCTGAAATGTCAAAAATTTCTACTTGTTATATCACTTATATTAAAGTTTTATATAGTTAACTAAACTAATGAACCCATAATAACGGCTCAATAACTTAAAGTTAAATATTCAAATGAAGTTTTATTTATTGAAATTAAAGAAGAAACAGCAAATGAGGAAAGAAAATTAATAAGTAGATTATAAATTCAAAAAAAGATAGTTTTATATTTAGGAAGAAAATAACGGCTAGAGATTATTAAATATATATTATCTTTAATTGATTGGAAATAATAGAAATAGTTGAGAATTAATAGTATTGTGGGAATTGAAAAGTGAAAAAAAAGAAGAGATTTATTAGGCAAGAAAGTGAAAGAATATATCATTTTATTAATTATTTTAACTTTTACATATTTTTAATGAAAAATCAGATAAATAGTTGAGAATTAATAGGATATAGAAGTGAGACAAAATATATATTTATTAAATATTTTAATTTTTGTATATTTTTAATATAATTAGTTATATTATTATCATAAAATTATAGTACCTATAAAAATTTGAAACCTAAAATCTTTGCTCTAGTGGTTTTACCTTAATGCCGACTTGGTGAATCTTCTAAATTTTTTTACAATATTATAAAGAGTAAAATCAAAGATTTCAAGTCAAAGTAGATTTATCAAAAAATAATTTATATTTTAATATTTAAATAATTAAAAAAAAAACCCCTAAATTTACAACTTGAAAATTAACATCGATGTATGGTAAATAATCTTTTAAAATTAATCCCATGGAATAAGGATGGTAATGTGTTAATAACTAAAACTAATTGATTATAGGCGGAGAGATTTGACTTTAATAAAAACACTAATCATTAAAGCTAAATATTTAATTTATGTGGCACAACAAAACTCAACCCTCTCTCTCCTGTATAGGTCCATCCAACACTAACAACTGACGTAAGCGGATCTAAGAGGTGAACAGGCAATAAGTGACAAAAATAAAATAACCTTGAACCCTACTATAATAAATTTTTAACATAAATTTATTAGTTAACACGTATTCGTATACCCAAGGATGAAAACAAACAAGAATATAAGAAAACTGGAATTGAATTCTTTAAATAAAAAACAATAACGCATTAATATGCATTTATTATTAAATTAAATATTTATCTACGTCGGAATTCTGAACTTATTGGTAAAAGAGACAACAAACATTTTCTAAGGGTGACATGGAGGAAGACCATGTAATGCTACGGTTGCAGCATCCAGTCTGGCTCTTGGTCCTTGGAAATATAGAAGATTCTGTCTAGAAACTTACAAATTGAAGGGCAGCCGCAGTCTGACAAAGGCAAGTAGAGAATTTTCTCGCCCAATATTATTTTATTTATTAGTAATTGTTATTGGCGTTCTTGTTGTTTGGCACTTTTAAAGGTCACAAATGCTATATACAGAAGAAAAACCGGCGAGGGATGCAAAATCAATTAGCCTATAAAAAAATAATAAAAGAAAACATAAAAATGCACCGTCACCTCTCACAGGATACTCTGGTTGCTGTACCGGCCATTGTCGTTTGGGATGTATACGGTGGTCTCGAGCTCGGAAGGCTTGCCGACAAGCTACTTCGGGACGTTGTTGGAAAGGTGGAAGTGATTGAAGGTGATGGAGGCGTTGGAACACTTATCAGACTCACATTTCCACCAGGTACTAGCAATAGTATTAGAATTATAGATTGTCCATGGCTTGGACTTTTGGTAACTTAATGTTTCTCCAATAAATTCCTTGTAGGTAGTCCTGTAAATGGTTATATAATAGAGAAATTGACAAAAATTGACGATGAAAACCGAGTTAAAGAAACTGAAGTCATTGAAGGAGGGTACAAAGCTCTTGGATTTGATCTTTTCCGTGCTCGCTTGGAGATCCTGGAGAAAGATTCCCAATCATCTATCATCAGGTCATAGATAGAGTATGAAGTAGATGACAAGCTCGCATAAATTGCTTCGCATGTGAGTATCAAGCCACTGGAAATAATTGCCGAAACCATTGGGAAACATCTCATTGAAAAGAAAAGGACTCACCTGCAGGAATCTTTTCCAACTACGTTTTAAGCAATTATAATGAAGAGCCCTGAATTAATCGTCCTGATTAGTGAATATGGTGCAAGAAGCAAGATGCTGCTTTTCTTGTTTAATTAAGTTGGGTGTGCTTCATGGTAATATCAATTGAGTTGATGACTGTACTCTTTTCCTCTAATCGGTTTTACTTGCTATAGATGTATCGCGATGATTTGATGCTATGAGTTTGAAAATTAGTATCACTTAGATGTAAATCAATTAATTAAGGCTTCATTACTGTGTGTTTTACTTTAAAAGAAGAACTAGCACAGTAGAGTTTGAGGCAGCTGTAATATGGGATGTCTATGGTAGTCTGGATCTCGAAAAGCACGCCGACGAGCTGCTAGGAGATGTCGTCGGCAAGGTGGAATTTGTGGAAGGAGATGGAGGCGTTGGAAGTATTATAAAGGTCACATTCCCTCTGGATAAACATGTGAATCTAAGATAAATGCTTCTCCAAATCACAATTAACCGCACACGTATATACACTATTATTTCATATGTAATTAAAAAAACAGAATCCGAAAAATTTTATGTATTTTAGTAGTGTAATTAGAAAAAGAGAATCCAAAAAATACTTAATTTATTTTAAAAAAATTTAAAACTTTTTTATTTTTTTATTACATTCAATTAAATTATTATATTTTTTTTTTTTAAAAAACAACATCCATTTGTATTTCCTTTGCCTGTAAGGTACAATTAATTCCCATAAATAAGAACCAGATATTTCATGGGCCAAAGCACTTTTTGTTTCTTGGTGAATAATGAGCCTAAAGATCCATCCAAGCCGTTTACCATTTCCTATAAAACGAGCAAAAAGTGCAGCAAAAATTGGTTTGTCTGATGAAGCCCAAATGCCTTGTTTCGGTATCTGATGAAACCGTTGCCCGCAATTTATTGGTCCCTTGTACATGTTCAGTAACAATGACCCACACTTCCTCCATATTCTCCTATTTGACCCCCACCCACATCCTAAACCGTTAGCTTATCTAGCAAAAACTGGTATATTTTTATTCTAAATTAAATAAATTTTTATGATTAATTGATTTAGTTAAAATATCACTTATTATTTTATATTATGTGGTACTAATGTAATAAATCGATACATCATAATGAATGATAATATGACATGTTGATATGATATGATAACATAATCATGTGATATTTTTTATTTTTCATATCAACACACGTCAGCACCATATGAACATAAAATAAAAAATGACATTTTATCTAACAATAATTAATTAATTATTAATCATAATTAAGAGGTTGTTTGATCTACAACAAAAATATAGAGATTTGAGTGAGCATAATAAAATAATAAAATTTTATTTAAATTTTTTAGAAATAGCTCAAGAGCTTTTCGAGTATTATGCTTTTTTAGTTTTATGCACGTGCATATATCAATGTGTGCTTGTTTACATAATTTTGAGTTATTTGCCAATCATAATTTTTTATATATAGATAACACCAAAGCAATAAGCATAAAACCTCCTTCTATCCTTATTTTTCCCTTAGTGTACTATATAGCATTACTTTTGCTATATAGTATAATATAATTGAGGAAATGTTACCACATTTTATAACAAGTCACCTTACATTTTCTTCTTATTCAAAACTAGAATTTTCTCTTTTGAAGTTTCAATAAAAAAAAAAAGGGAGTTTGATTAAGAGAGGAAAGAGAAGGAACAATTTTTTTTTCTTAAATTAATTAATTTTGAGTTTGAATGATCGAATAGCCGCCCATGTTTACACTACCGATAATCTTCTTCGAGAAAGTTAAAGGCGTTGAGAGTCTTGCCATGCCGGTGAAAATATGATTAGAAACTCGGAAAAGGTCTTGACCAAACTAAATAGATGTCTAACTAGAATACATCAGATACATAAGCAGTAAGTTTGGTTAATTTAGACCATAAGTTTCATATAAAAAAGTTTAGCTCAATGAAAGGAAAAACTGTTCACGGCATCATTTATATTAGTTCTTCTTCATCTATATTGCTGTCGTTTGAAATTTGGCAGTGCCCTGGACATGACTATCCCATCATTTAAAACAATCAAAAATCCTGAAGCTATAATTTCCAACAGTGGGGCTTTCCGGAAGGGATTCTTTAGCCTTGCTAATCCTGAAGCTGTACATGGTGGCATCGGGCTAAGCTCGACCTTAGCTTTTAGATAAGGAGGCCCCGTATGCTCGGTTCATTAACAACTTCTGTTGAAAAAAAATAGTATGAAATTATTTATTATTAAGTCAAATATTGAATATAATTAATCAAATACTCAATATATATACATGCACATATAATTGGTCAAAAAAATCTTTCGAACTATATTAGACCAAAATTTTTTTAATAAAAAAAATAAAATATATAAATACACCCTTCAAATAAAATTAATTGACTAAATCTTAACAAATATAATTAATCAATCAATTGAAAAAATCAACAAATTAATATGCGGTGAAAAAAAAGCACGGTCTTACTTTCTATTTTGTCTTAATCCAATCTTGACTTTTCCTTTCTTTTTTTTTTTTGAAGCATTCGTCTTGACTCGAGTTAATTTGTTTTTATAGTTGAAATTTCCTAAAGATGTATACTTATAAATTGCCTGCAACAAATTTTATTATTGCAATATAGAATTGTACTCAAAAGAAAATTACTAGCACAGGAGGAGAAAATATGCGCGGCTATCTTTCACAAGATACCCTGGTAGAGGTTCCGGCAGTTGTATTATGGGATGTCTACCGTAGTCTCCAACTCGGAAAGCTCGCCAGTGAACTACTTCGAGATTTTGTGAGCAAGGTGGAATTTGTCAAAGGTGATGGAGGCGCTGGAACTATTGTAAAGATCACATTTCCTCCAGGTAAACATGTAAACCAAAGATATATGCTTCCCAACTCACAACTACGTACGTGCATGCACACATGCATTGATTGAATTGTGACATTGAACTCGTTTTAGGAACTCCTGGACCTGGTTATATGACGGAATTGTTCACAAATATTGATGATGAGATACGCTTGAAGGAAGCAGAAATCATTGAAGGAGGATTCAACAGTGTTGGATTTGATCTTTATCGAATTTGCTCGCAAATAATTGAGAAAGATGCTGAATCATCTATTGTCAGGTCGTCAATAGAGTATGAAATAGATGATAAGCTTGAAGAAATTGCTTCTCAGGTGACTACGAAGCCACTGGAAATAATGGCAGAAGTTGTTGGCAAATATCTCAAAGAAAAAAGAAGCTCCACTAATTAGGATTTGTGCTATGCAACTACATTGTCTTTCTTTAGAACTAAAGGCTTGTTATTTATTTATTTTTTTGAATAATTAGGTTTGGAGAAGAACTTAAACTACTTCAAACTTTTACTTTTAAATAATGTTAGACTATTTTAGCGTCACATTAATACATGTGTGTGTATGTTTAAAAGTTGGTTGTTTAATATTTATGTGAGATATCTGATTTGAATAATGAAATGTATTTGAAATGAAATAAATTTAATTATGTTGAAATGGAAAAAAAAATTCATAAAAAATTTTCCTTTATGTTTTGAGATTCTTTTGAAGTCTTTCTATAAATAATGGTAATTTATCAATTTTTAATAACATATAGGTTTGTGTGTATTCATATTATCAAGAATGTTTTCTATTTTAGCAAATGGATCCGTTACAAGTTTATTATCAACCATCTTATATATTATAGATATGTAGTTGTGATTGCATAATTTTATTTGAATATTCAGCAATTAAGAATTTAGATAATTTGTACAAATCAATTCGAGAAAAAGAAGTAAACGTATTCAATGATCCAATGAAAAGTCAATTATTTCATTTTCTTTATTAATGTCAAACCGATCTAATTTCACAAAATCAAAAGTCAATGACCTTAAGATTTTTCCATCACATCAAGCTAGTTTTAAGACACTTTGATCCAACAATTTGATTGTATGCATATTTTCTAACTGAGATTCCATTTTCATAATTACCTTGAGATTGTTGTTTTATATATAATTTGATGAACAGAATTTGAAGAGTTTTATGTGCCTTGATGCGTATAGATTAGAACTCATTGTTTTAAGGTAATTATACCCCCTATATATTATATTGCTATTGAGAAAATTGGTATTATACTTCTAGGATTCAACAAAAGTCTACAGGGAGCAAAATCAGAATTTTCTCTTTAAAATTTCAAAGAATGGGAATTTGATTAAGAAAAGACAGAGAAATAAAAATTTTCTTTTTAAATTAATTAATTTTGACTTTCAATGTCTATTTATAAACAAATTTATGACTATTCCATGAAAGATCACTATTCATCAGAGTCATCTCCGTTTATCAAAAGTTTCCAAAAGGAATTTGTTTTGTGCTATCTGTAAAGGTACCCTCCCATCTTTACATTTCAATCTAATAGGACCAATTATTTCTCCAACACACACTAACAATTGAAAAGTTTAATTTTTAATTAAAATTGAGTCAAGTTCAAGCAAATGTACATATATAGTTTTTTAAAATAAAAAGAAAAGGAGAAAATGTAAGGGGACTTGTTCTAAAATGTGGTAACATTTCCTCAATTATATTGTACTATATAACTAAAGGTAAAACTTAATTTGGACAATTGACCGATGGTAATTGGAATTTGACCAAAGCTAATAAGTTCGTTTAATATATTTTAAGGGAAAAGTAAGGATAGAAGGAGGTTTTTAGGCTTATTGTTGTTGTGTTATCTATATAAAGAAAGAAGGTATAACTATATTTTCCCTTAAAAGAATAAAAATACACTTAATTTAGAGGTACGCTTCCTCTAAATTTTCCTTTAAAAAGAAAAAAAAAAGTATGATTCTAAAGTGTGTAATCCATATTTAGTCCAAAAGAAAATAAAAAAGAAACCTATTGTTGGCAAATGATAAGGTGGAAATGAAAATTGTTAGGTATTTGCCTAGAAAAATAAATTAGAAAAAGAAGTTTCAATCCTTCAACCAATTTTTCTTAATAGAAATATATATTGAGGACAAACTATTCTAAATTTTTTAAATTTTGATCAAAATTATATAAAAATTTATTAATTTTTAAAATAAATATTTCGTTTTCAGACTATAAATATTAATAACAGAGATAATAAAAAAGTTAAAATATTTTTTTATTAATTTAAAATTATTCTTTTATTTTTTAAAAAAATAAAAAAAATTAAAGAACATCGATCCCGCAAAGAAAGGGGAGCACCGGTGGTCTCTTAGGGAGCCCGATCGGGGCTATTCAGTAAACATATATGCAAGACCTGGGAAACAAAGAGTTATGGGAATAATCTATGTTGCTGTTGTTTAAAATTGGCAGTGCTCTGGACATGACTATCACATCATCTAAATCCATCATGGATGCTGTCCCGAAACTATAACTCCAACAGTAGGGCTTTTTAGTCGGGATTCTTTAGTCTTGAGCTTAGCTTTTAAATAAAGAGGCTCGCTATATTCATGTCATGAATATATTTTTTAAAAAGTTTATGCTAAATTATTTATTATGGAATTAAATATTCATTATAAAATTATCAAATACTTAATACATATATGCACCTATAATGGCTCCAATAAATCTCTACAACTATATTAAAACAACATTTTTTAATTAAAAAAATAACCATATATATATAAGTATACGCATCAAATATAATCAACTGAATAAATCTTAACAAATATAATTAATCAATTAATCCAGATGTAACATTTTAAAAAGCTCTTGTACTATTTAATAAAATTCAAATAATATTTTTATTTTTTATTATGTTTAATTAAGTTCATATATTTTTATTTTTTATTCAAATAGATGGTTATGAGTAACGGTTAACAAACTGTGATTAGTTAAAATATCATTTATCTTTTTTACACTGATGTGATATTAATGTAGACGGTGAAAAAATATCACGTGATTATGTCATCATACCACATCAACATTATATATTATTATCCATTGTGTCATGTTAGCACAACTTCTCATAGAATAAAAAGTGATACTGTGATCAATAGCAATTAGTCAATCATTAATTATAATAACTTATTTGACTTAATATATAAATATAAGAATTTGATTGACTATAATGAAAGAATATAGACTTATTTAAATTTTTTTAAATAATTTAAAATTTTTTTGAAATATTATATATATCATCAATCAATTAACGAAGGAATCAACAAATTAGTATATAATGAAAAAAACTCAAGTTGAACTAAATCTATATGCATACGTACATATTATTTTATCCTAGTTCAACTTTTAGAAGTATCCAATAATTTATATTTAATTACTAACCTAGAATTATTGAAAACTACATAAAAAAAAATATTTTGGTAAGCACTAGTATTAAAACACACTCAAATATTTAGCTCATTGATTGGTACATGATTCTTTATTTAAAAAGCAGAATTCGAATCTTCCTTTCTTAATTATAAAAAACATTAATGCTAAAATGAGTAAAATCACTTGTGATATACTCATATTTAACTTGTTTTAAACAAAGTGACGAGTTTACTAAAATTAAATCAAAAAATAAAACTATTACCTTAAATTTTGTGAAAGTCTAATCCAAATGGATAAAGTGAGATAAACAAAGAGAGTATTCATATGGATTAATATTATTACTAACACAATGATTTTGGATTTAAATATATACAGCATTAAAATTTTCAAAGGTTTAGTTTTAAGAAAACACCTTAAGCTACATAAACAAAGGTTCATGCTACCTGCTAAGGGCTATAAGTTGAGATTGATTTGGGTCGAATTTGGACATAAAGTTTTAGTCTCGAGTTCGATCTGATTTGATTTAATTGAATTAAATTATCTAAAAGTATATTCTTCTTTAATTTTAATTGTAAAATATATTTTTATTATTTTAATACTGAAATAATATGAAATGAAAACCAAGGAGCCGGGTAAGAATTTGATTGGACTTTTGGAAAAAGCCGCATACCGGCTTAGGACACCTTTATTACACAGCGTGTTGCGTGCCAAATTTGTTCATATAGTCGAAATTTCCTGAAGCCGTATCCCTATAAAAACGGCTGCAACGAATCTATAATCTTACAATAGAAAGATTTCAAAAGAAAACTAGCAAAGTAGGAGCAAAAAATGCGCGGCCATCTATCACAAGATAGCGTGGTAGAGGTTCCGGCAGCTGTGATGTGGGATGTCTACCGTAGTCTCCAACTCGGGAAGCTCGCCGATGAACTGCTAGGAGATGTTGTGGGCAAAGTGCAAGTTGTCCAAGGTGACGGAGGCGTTGGCACTATTGTAAAAGTCACATTCCCTCCAGGTAAACATATATACAATTGTTTTTAATGATTTTCATCAAGTTGAATTTTGAAACTTGGTTTAGTAATTTTTTAAATTTAAATCAAGTAGTAATTAAAAGTTTAAGTTTAAATTGTTAATAGTAATAGACTTAAATTATTATATAAATCTTAATAATTATAGTCATATCATATGAGAGATATTGAGTATTACAACTATGTTCATCTTTTTGCTTAAGTGCAAATAGCTCTTTCTTGTGAAATAAGCTTAGACATAAGATTCATATTCACGATCGGTAATTTTTTACGCTATCTTTTTGTAAGTGTACAGAGTTTTAATGTCTATCAATATGTTATGCAAAGTCTATTATAGTAAATAAGAAACTTGAAATGATATATAAATCGAGACTAATAAAATCTTTTAAAAAAAAAAAGATTCAGGATGTTGACTTGATTTGAATTCTTATTAAATTTCTGGGGTTAGTTAGAACCATAATAATATTTGCCATTGCACGCTACATTTTTGTGTTTTTTATTTCCTTGATATCTGTGACTGATTTATGATATTGAAATCCTTTTAGGAACTCCTGGACCTGGTTATATGAAGGAAATGTTCACAATAATTGATGATGAGATACGCTTGAAGGAAGGAGAAACCATTGAAGGAGGATTCAAAGATGTTGGATTTGATGTTTATCGAACTCGCTTGCAAATAATTGAGAAAGATGCTGACTCATCTATTGTCAGGTCATCAGTGGATTATGAAATAGACGATAAGCTTCAAGAAATGGCTTCTCAAGCGACTACCAAGCCTATGGAAGTATTGGCAGAAGCCGTTGGCAAATATCTCAAAGAAAAATTGAACTCCACTAAATAGGGTATGTGCTATGCAGCTACATTGTCTTTCATTCAACCTAAAGGCTTGGTTTTTCTTTTTATTTTTTTGTATTTAAATAATTATGTTCAGAAAAAAAAATCGAAACTACTTCAAACTTTTATTTAAATAGACTATTTTAAATTCTTGTTAAAAAAGTTGTGTATATATACATACCTATGTTAAAAAAGTTCTGTCATTCAATATATAATTTGAATAATGAAACCTATATGAAATTAAATAACTTTGGTTTGTTATATTTAATAAATTAAAAAATATATTTTTTAAAAAATTCATATAATACTCTGTAACTATTTTTAGTCAAATGGTGGGATACCTTTCATTAAAAAAAAGTTACAAAAGGAAAAAGGTGATGATGGCCACTGAAAAAGGACAAAGGCAAGCCATTTAAATTTCTAATAGAAGGTCATTCATATGTATGCGTTTTTCCCCACAAATGCATCACTGGGATTTGAGCAGGCTATACAACCCAGGGTGTCCAAATTCAGAATTCGAAAGTTTTCATCCTTTTCATTGTTTATCAAAACATGACTTCCACATTTTGAGCAAAATTTTACAGTATTATTGTATATGTTTCTGAATTTAGTCTATAAATAACATATTCATTCTTATTCACCATTCAAAACCTTTTCAATGTAATTACATGTTGGTGTATTTTCAAAATAAAAAAATTATATCACATAATAAAAAGTTATATTAACTCAAAGGTTGTGTTAGATAAAGTATATAATGTAACTATTAGATTATGAAAGTCTTTTTATGTAAATAGTTATGTCTTTTAGTAAAGTGACATCTGAATCCAAATATATGTGACAATTGAAAAATACCACAGTTGAAAAGTTTATATATAAAAAGTTATCTTTTCATATTATAGCTCAAAGATTATGTTTTGTAAAATGAATGGTTATTTTTCCACAAAGTGATTATTAAAACAATATCTTTATCCAAAAATTATATTTTACAAAATATAAAAGTATCTTTAAGACAAAGAGGTGTTTTAATGAAAAGCTTATGTTCTTGAGAAAAGCTACTTGCAAGCATATATAAAAGGCTTGTTACCAACTATTTTTACACACCAAAAAATGAACAAGATATTAGCAAAAAAATCAAGAGAGATAAAAGTGTCATGTTCTGAAATTAAACATAAACACTTGAGTTCTCATTATTTGTTAAAGGAATCCAAATTATTTATAATTTACTTATTATAAAAAGTAAACTCTATAGTCAAATAATTTTACAAACTCTCAGATGTATCTAGTGGTCTACTTTCATAAAGTGCAAAGATGAAGTTAGATGTTGACTTCATTGTATTTCTAAAGTTAATCGCATAATTCTCCTTTTGCATACAAAATGATGAGAGTGAAATAAGTTTTAGATTTTAGGTTAAACTCTTATTATATGTAAGTTTAATTTTCTCTCGGTTCATTAATTTGTTCTAAACCAAACCATAACAATTAGTAAATTAGAATGAGGTCCAATTTTAAAAAAATAGAAATTAACAAGGAAAAAGGCCCCAGCCTTAGGTCTTCAATTTAGAATTTCACACTTACCACATTAACAATAAAAGGAAAAAGTTACTACTACCTCTTTTGAATAAGATAAGGATGGTAATTTTTTAACCATTCAACTTAAAATTAATTGATAATTGATAATAGATAATAGATATAGAGATTCTACTTGAATAGAAAACCACATGAAACTTAATATTAAATTCAACACTTCTTTTCACGTGTAAACTCAACACTAACAAATGAAATGATTAGGCCTGCCAAGTGAACAACACATAAGAAGGTGAAAGTAACTAGAGAATAACAAATATAAAGGTGAAAGTCACCTTTCTAACTGTCGATAGCCTTCCAAATTTCCTGTTCCGAGAGGGGTGAGTCGCCATAAGCAGCAGATCGAGCGAAAAGTTTGACCAATCGGCAGCTTAACTTCCTCATAAGAGCCACAAGTCCGCGCTTGTATAATTCTTCAAAATGACAAGCTGCAGTTTCTTTAATATCAACCAGATCAGTAATCACTCTTCCCAGGTGTGAGAGACTGCCTATATAATTGGACTCACATCTGGTGGATGCTATGCTGTGAAAGTAGCACGTATTTCGGCCACCTTCCAAAAGCCATTTAACTCTATAATTGGACCTCCAATCATAAGAACCTCCAGAGTTCACTTTTTTTTCGAGCAAGGCTTTTTTCTAACTTATCAGAAACACCTCCCTAAAAATCAATTTCAGTTCTATGAATATCAGCTTCAAGATTGCTAATAATATTTCCCATATTACCAAAAACCCTTTGCTGTTACTGTTTAATATGCTATTTAGTACCACAGAGCCTAAGTCATATAGTTGCCACTTGCCCGCCTGCCTTTCAGTTTCTCTATTCCTCTCCGTGCCGCAAGGAACATGTCTAGAAAAGTGTTATCCTCAGGCCAGTGGTTAAAGAAACGGAACGGCTTTGGACACCAATTGAACTCCTCAATACTGATCATGACAAGGTTGTGATCGGAAATAGAAGCTAGAGGGCATAACTGAAGTAGGTCAGGCCAATTTTCGACTAACTCAATTGCAATAAGAAATCGGTTCAGTTAACTAAAAGAAATACGCTCTCTGCATCTACCCCAGGTGAAGCTATCACCATTCATAAGGATATCCAACAAACCTGTCTCTTCAATGAAATTACTAAATTGAACCATAGAATTGGCCGTAACAGTGCAACCAAGTCTTTCCTCAACACACTTAACGACGTTGAAGTCACCACCGATGACCTAATAAATATCTTAGGCCTTGATGGCCTAAAGCAATTCCCCTCAAACGATAAACCTCTCACTTTCTCCATTCGAACCATAAATATTCCGAATACCAATATAATCATTAAGACCCAGAATTTTACCTCTGAGAAGAATAAACCTTCAGCTCACAACATAGTCTTCTACCTTAAAGAAATCATCACACCAACAAGTAAGTAATCCACCAGAGGAGTCTACTGAGTCAACAGCTATCCAACCGCATGTCCCGCTTTCCCAAATTCTTTCAACTACTCTAGATTCAATATTTTGTAACTTTGTTTCTTGAATTAGCAAAATTTTAGGCTTAGGCTTCAGAAAGAGACCTCTGACCACCCTTTTCTTCATCGGGTGTCGTAGACCCCGTATATTCCAAGAAATAATAGCCATTAAGCAAGAAAATAGGAAAACGCACAACAGAGAAAGATACTCATCTTGAAATTGCAGAAGCTAGTAGTCAGACCAAGATACTTCTCAGAGCTTTCCTTCAGCATTATCGACAAAAACATTGACCATTCTTTCCCATGCCCTTGTGAATCACTTTGGTGAGAAGCTCTTCCTCTGCCTCTGCGGGTACCAGTCCAAGGTTTTCTCTGCCTAGTTTGAAGCATGGAAAGTGTCTCAGATTCACTATTTATTTCTTCTCTCAGGTTTTTAGCAGGGATTACCTCATCTGGAGTCGGGCTTAGAGGTTTCGTTTCAATTCAGTCAGTTTCCTAGTTTAGGTTCATATCCCGTTCTTCCATTAGACCACAAACTTGGGTAGTAGGAAACTATTCTTCAGCACCTCCACTTGAGTCTCTAAAGACTGATGTCTTCTCAGTGCTGCCATTACACGCCAAAACTTCCTAGCTTGAGAGTTCCAATTGAGAGAGGCATGCACTATAGTGTTCTTCACTTGGAGCTATGGTCTTCATTTCTAGGCAAAAGAGATTGACAGCATCAATCAAACTTGGAACCTTGAGTGGTAAATCCAATGAGTTTTCCTGAATTGGGCTTGAAGGCGCAGTTGACTCACTGAATAAATTAAGCCCGATTTGGAATACTGGGTTACCTTCAGGAGTGTGGTTTGCGCTCGAGACATGGCATGGAGTTGGTGGGCTCATATTTACAGCAAAGCTAGGTTTGTGTTTGTCAATCCTTGGTCCAACATCACTAAGAGCTCCTTTGTTCCAATTACTCCGCGCGTCCAAGGTTACCAAATCAAAATTCAAATTTTCATACGGAAATGACCTTGTTGCCCAGTCCATCGGGGGCTTCACAATGGCTGTCCTTTCCTTAACGATGATCATATCAACGAGAGGTTTTTTGGAACAGTTTTCAGCGACTTCAACCGAAACTTTATTTTTATCAGTAGCTTGCGCATCCACACCAAGTTTCAACACAATTTTGCTACCATTTATAGCCACCTCCTTCCATTCTAGTATGATCGCCTCATTCTTTTCCATGATAAGAGCTGTAGCATGATCTAATCTCTCCAGATTGGTGGTGGCACTACCGACTTTTATTACTCGTCTCCACAAACTGTCGATTTTCCTGAAAATAGATTCACACCAAAAATGAAGAGGTAAGTTTTCGATCTTGATCCAAAATGACCTCATACCTCTTACCTCAAGCGCAGAGTATAAGACAATGGAAGTGAACCATAGTTTAAAGAGGTTTGGATAATCAGATAAGATGATACTTCATTTCAACCTTGTCCCCAAAAATAACAATCGTTCTTAGGTAGCCATATGACCTGATTGTCACCGGAATACCTTGTTGGCATAGTTGCGACTGAATTAATTTGAAAGGGAATTCCTCTTTCAAATTTGCAATAACACATTTCTGGACTCATTCAATTTCATTCTCGGGGATGGGCAAAATGATATCAACCGGTTGAGGTGGAAGCTTGCCTGAGGCAACTCCTTTTGGCTTGGAATTTTGCAGTTGTCTATTCCCCGATCCACTGATTAAAGCTTCCTTATATGTTCGGTTTGGCTGAGCCACAGTGCCAATAGGAGCTTGGTTAGCTGATACCCAAGCTTCCTTCGAAAGCTTTGTTGACTAAATGCTTCTTCCATCCAGGTTGATGCCATTTCCTTGCGCTATGGCTTTCCACATTTCTTTTGGATATCAATATCGAATGAAGGCAAAAGTGGGTCTGTTCGTGGAGGTGGCTGAACGAGGTTTCCAAATGTATGTATCAACAACGGTACCATATTCCTTGAATAAATCATTCAGCTATGTCCGTGTCACTTTGGTACTTACGTTTCCAGCATAAACTGAAAAGAGCCCATTCTTCCAACGATCAGAAGAGTCGTGAGAATCTTTGCATTGTCATCTTTAGTCCCTTTGTAGAAAAGTATTGTGCTAATAGCATTCCAACTTCTTCGTTTAGCTCCGATCATGTCCTAGAAAAATTTTCAAAGTTTACCTTCACCACCCTCCACTGTTAATCAGTTTGGCATTAGATCTCTTTATTAATGTTTCATGACATCTCCTTACAAAATTTTCAAAGTTTTCCTTCACCACCTCTCCTCCTAACTCCATGTTAAAAAAAGTTAGGTACATACATACATACATATGTTAAAAAAATTCATTATTTAATATATAATTTAAATAATGAAGCGCATATGAAATTATATAACTTTGATTTGTTATATTTAATAAATCAATAACATATATTTTTTAAAAAAATTAATAAAATATGGTGCAACTATTTTTTGTCAAATGGTGGGATACTTTTCATTAAGAAATAGTTAAAAAAAGAAAATGGTGATGATCGCCGCTTGAAATTGACAAAGGCAAGCTATTTAAATTTCTAATGAAAGGCCATTCCTTTGTATGTCTTTTTTTCCACAAATGCATCGGTCGGATTTGAGCAGCCTATGTAACCCAGGGTGTCCAAATACAGAATTCGAAAGTTTTCATCCTTTCATTGTTTATCAAAACAGACTTCCACATTTTCGTCAAAAATTTACAGTATTATTATATATGTTTCGGAATTTAGTCTATAAATAACATATTCATTCTTATTCACCGTCCAAAACCTTTTCAATGTAATTATATTGACTAGTGGTTCGAGACACTGATAATAAATAATATTTATAAAAATAATTTTTACATTTAATAATGTAATTAATCAAAAATATATTTGGAGATGATATCAAATCTCAACGATAAAATTTTTTTTAATATCTTTAGGTTTAAGTTTTAGATTAAACTCTTATTATGTATAAGTTTAATTTTCTCTCTGTTCATTAATTTGTTCTAAACCAAACCCTAACAATTAGTAAATTAGAAATGAAGTCCATTTTTAAAAAATTGAAATTAAAAAGGAAAAAGGCCCTGGCCCTATTTCTTGAATTAAGAAATTTCAAACTTACCGCATTAACAAATCTCATTTGAACGGGATAAGAATGATAATTTTTTTAATAATTTAACTTAAAATTAATTGATAAATGATGTAGAGATTCAATTTGAATAAAAAATCACATGAAATTTAATATTTAATTCAACACTTCCTCTCACGTGTAGACTCAACACTAACAATTGAAATATCAAGTGAACAACACGTAAAAAGGCGAAAATAACAAGAGCAAAATAAACTTGAACTCTAACTAAATTTTTAGAACGAGTATTCAACTTAAAACAATTTGATACGAGTAGGTAGAAATAATAAAATTACCATTTAATATGTGCTTTATATGTCAAGATAAGAAACCTAACTTGGGGCATGGACTTTGCACATAGTAATGACAAGCTTATCAAGGAGGGGCCAATGAACGAGCAGTTCCTACTCTAGTATTTATTATAAAATTTTAAGATAGAAGTTTAATTTAAAGTTAATTGATAATTAATCGATAAAAATTCTTGTTATATTTATGTGTTTAAAATATTTAAAATTCTCACTCCAAAAAAAAAAAAGAAAGTTAAAACGCAACAAATGTGAAAATTTTTAATTACAATTTTAATAATAAATTTGAATAGAATTATAGATTAGAACTCTTTTTCACCTTTATTAATCAAGATTACTTGCACCAAAATCTCAACTTATCGAAGAAAGAAAAAAAAATAAAGATTGCCTACGTGGAAGTCCCTTCTTGAAAGAGACAATCTAATGGTAGGAGTAGGGGCATCCGGATCTCTAGGGAAAAAGGATCTTTTCCGGCCAAACATAGTAGACTCTATCTAGAAACCTACAAACCAGGGGCCGGTGCAGTGCCTTGGTATATTTTTACGAATTGTCGTTGTTTTGGCACTTTTAAAGGCCACATTAGGCTGTATAAATATACCGGCAAGGGATGCGATATCCATAAACTTATAAGAAAATAATCAGAGAAACAAGCGCAGCATAAAAATGCACGGTCATCTCTCACAGGATACTCTGGTTGCTGTGCCGGCCGCTGTCATTTGGGATGTATACGGTAGTCTCGAGCTCGGAAGGCTTGTTAACAAACTACTAGGGGACGTTATTGGAATCGTAGAAGTGATTGAAGGTGATGGAGACGTTGGAACTCTTGTCAAGGTCACATTTCGGCCAGGTACTAGCTATATATTGTATTAGAATTATAGGATTTGATCTATGTGGATACTCTTTAATCATGAACTATACAAGGGGAAGTAATAATCTATGTTTTTGACTGGTCTATGGCTTGGATTTTTGGTAACTTATTTTTTCCCACTATAAATTCCTTGTAGGAAGCCCTGTAGATGGCTATATGATTGAAAAATTCACAAAAGTTGATGATGAAAATCGAGTTAAGGAAACTGAAATCGTTGAAGGAGGGTACAAAGCTCTTGGATTTGATCCTTTCCGAGTTCGCTTGGAGATTCTGGAGAAAGATTCCCGATCATCTATCATCAGGTCATCGATAGAGTATGAAGTAGATGACAAGCTTGCAGCAGTTGCTTCCCAAGTGAGTATTAAGCCGCTGGCAATGATAGCAGAAGCAATTGGGAAGCATCTCCTTGACAAGGAAACAGCTCAGCTGTAGGACTGTTTCCAACTACGTTTTTCAACCTGAAGAAATAAGGAATTAATAAGAAGTCCTGAATTAGTCCCAACTAATGAATATTGAAAGATGTTTGTTTTCTTGTTTCATCAAGATGTGCTTCATAGTATATCAATTAATGTACAATAAGATTTGCTGGATTATTGGTATTTGACCAAAGTTGCACGCTCATTTTTTGTTAACTTTGTGTAAAACTTAAGAAGATAAAAAGATCAAAGGACTCGATAATTGTTTCGAAAATCTTAAGTTCGTGGTCTCCAATACAAGATGAAGATGGCAGCTTTATGTTCTTTTTATCTCAAAGGCATTTAAGGGAACAAAACAGAAAAAGAATCTTGAAGCCATCAACCAATTTTTGAGAAAATGCTGGGAAAATGCAACATGTAAACTCCTGATCTTCACTTACATATGAATAGCCTCTTTTCCCCATAGTTTGCTTTTTGTTTTTTTTCTTTTTTTAATTCGTAATAAATTCATAACAGAGGAGAACTTATTCACCGCTAGACAAATCAAGATTTTGACCTGTTATTCTTTATTCAAGAATAACATTTCAAAATCCTCTCCAAAAGGATCATTTTACTTTCATACACAAAATACAGCTCCCAGTTGCTAAATGATCCCAAACCCAGAAAAATCAGTATGAACAAAACCTAGGCAACAGTTGATACATGAGTCTACTATTTAGGTTACTTACGCATTAAGTTAGGTTAGATTAAGTTATCTTTTACTTTACTTGTACTTAAAAAAAGTTTAAGTTAGATTATTTTCTTATATATTTATTTATTTAGAAATTATAATAATCCCACATAAGAAAAGTATATAAGAAAGTTTTTTTTTTAGGAATAGTTATATAAAACCTTTTTGGTTAATTATTAGACACATTCAAGTTGAAAATTAATAAAGAATATTTTCTTTAGTAAGTAGAAGTGCTTATTTTCTCTAAATTCTTTTTAGAAAAGTAAAAGATTTTAATATCTTTGGTTTGGCCAATCAAAATGGGATTTTGGCCATTATTCATCTTGGTGGGGTTTTCTAACCTTGCCAAGATTAGTGTTCACCTTAGTAAGGTTTCTAACCTCGCCATGATTGGTGTGTTTTATAATGTCTCGGTGTCTTCACAACTCCTTGGCATTAATTTGGTATTAGAATAAGAGGATCATTATTTGTTGCATAGTATGGGTTCCTGTCGAATATCAACTCCCCTTATTCAGCTAATTCTATTTCTTTTATTGTTTTATAGTTTTGTTATATTTTTTGTTATTCTACATCACCACATTGTCATCACTATACAACAAAATGCCACCAAGATGTCAAAATCATCAAAGAGATGCTCACGAGATCGAGGTAGAGGAATTATGTCTTTAAGTTCAAGAATTACAAGAACAACTCGTAAGACATGATGCTGCTCAAATTAATAATAATAGTTTCAATGATGAAGATGGACTTGTAAATCAAGTGGTAAGAGTTGGATTGGATGACCAGTTACTACACGTTCTTGATTTAAGTGGCGGAGAAGTCAAGATTGAAGCAGTTGATTTTTATGGGAAGTTATATGCGGAGGATTAATTGGATTGGGAGAAATTAAAACCAGTTTATGATGAATATGATGAGGAGATAGAGGAAATTGATGTTCATCATGCACAAAGTGAGTCCTTGGTGGTTCAAACGCAAGTTAGTGAGTTGTCGCAGAAAGGTCTAATGCATGAAAGTAAAAGTTTTTGTACTTGCTCAACTTTGTTAAAGAAAGATAGCTTATGGAGGGTATGTGTGGATAGTCATGCCATAAATAAAATCACAGTTACGTATCGTGTTTTTATTCCTCGATTAAATGAGATGCTTAATCAACTAGTCGGTTCCAATGTATTTTTAAATATCGATATGAATAGTGGATATCATCAAATTATAATGAGGAGTGGTGATAAATGGAAAACAACCTTCAAAACACCGGATGGATTATTTGAATGGTTGGTGATGTTATTTGTTTATCATATTCGAAAAATTCATGAAGAGGTAAAAGTTGCCTTAAAAGCCAGCAACGTAGTATTTTTGTTTGCTATCAATCAACATTGTCGTAAACAAGAATTTGAGGAAGATGATTAAGTACTTGTGCACTTGAGGTAAGAAACTTTTCTTAAGGGTACTTATCACAAGCTCAAGTCTAAAAAGTTTGGACCTTGCAAGGTGCTAAAGAAAATCAATTCAAACGCCTATTTAATTGAGCTGTCACCTAAGTTACAAATCAATTCTATTTTCAATGTTTCGGATTTATATCCATTTGATGGAATTGATGGGATTGCATCTATTATAGACGCTTAAGCTTAGCACCTTCTAATTGCTAAGACTGGAGTTATTGAAGAAGTGTTAGATGTGAAAGATGTTTGATATAGATAAAAAACCCTATGCAAGCCATTTTATTTTTCTCCAATTTGAGGAAAATGATACAAGAGTATATTATTTAGGTTATTTGTGCATTAAGTTAGGTTAGACTAAGTTATCTTTTACTTTACTTGTACTCAAAGGAAGTTTAGGTTAGGTTATTTCCTTATATATATATATTTATTTAGAAATTATAGTAATCTCACATAAGAAAAGTAAGAAAGCTTTCTTTTTAGGAATAGTTATATAAAGCCATCTTGGATTAATTGTTAGACACATTCAAGTTGAGAATTAATAAAAAATATTATTTTTAGTAAGTAAGAATGCTTATTTTCTCTAAGCTCTTTTCAGAAGAGTAAGAGATTTTAATATCTTTGGTTTGGTCAACCAAAATGAGATTTTGACTATTATTCACCTTAGTGGAGTTTTCTAATCTCGTTAAGATTAATGTTCACTTTAATTGGGTTTTTAACCTCACCACCATTAGTATCTTTACAACATTCTGATGTCAACAGCTCTAATAAGAACACTAGAAAGCCTCTGGAACCTCACAACTTAATTTAAACTCCTAACACAACCTATACAAAAGACAACACAATAAAAATCACAATCAAACCATAGCCTTTAGCTCCACACACATCAGCAAGACAATCCACAGACAACAACCATGATGGTTTGTTAGGCATTTTTCGAGATAATCCCTGGCAGGGTTAGAATAATGGAAGGTTAAGAGAAATTTGACTATAGATCAATATGCAGTTCACAAAATTTTGCCATAATCAAATTATTCTATTTTGAGATTTAACCTATGCCTATGATATGATCACCTTTCTTGAGAAAGTTCAAGGCCATGAGAGTCCTGCCAAGCTGGTGGTGGTGGGTAAACAACTAGAAGTGAGTTAACGAATGGATTAAGAAAGGTTGACTACACTAAACTTTTACTTGATGTAGTTATCATACAATGGTGTTCATGGATATTTTACTAAAAATGATTCATTCAGATAAAGCAAAGTTCCAACAACTTTGTAAAATTTAATACCATAATAAATCAAGAGTATGGAAACAAAAGTCAAGGAATACTTGTTCATGGCATTCTTTCAGTACATTCAACAGTTCAGCCTGTGTGCACGTCCTGCATGCTCATGCAAAACAAAGATTATGGGAATAATTAGATGCTCAACGTTATTGGTTCTTCTTCATCTGTCTTGTTATAGTTCAGAATTTGGCACTACCCTGGATACGATCATTTTTTTCTAAATCCATCAAGGATCTTGAAGCTATAACCTCCAGCAATGGTGTTTTCAGATTGGGATTCTTTAGCCTTATTAATTCTAGCAATCATTACTTGGGGTTGGGTACAATATTGGTTGTCTTGAAAATTCTATTATTTGGGTAGCCAATAAAGGCCAGCCTTTGAAAGATAACTCTGAAGTTGTCATGATATCCGAGGATGGCAATCTTGTTTTGAATGGTTAAAAAGAGATTCTTTGGTAGTCAAATGTAAAAAAATGGAGTAGCCAATGTAAGTGCTCAGGTTTTAGACTCCGGAAGCTTGTGTTGCAAGATAATAGCACTAATGGTGTAAGATTGTGGGAAAGTTTCCAACAACCTTATAATACATTTATGCCAACCGTGAGAATTAGAAATAATGTAAGAATTGGTGAGAAAGTGCAGTTGACATAGTGGAAAAGCTCTTTTAATCCATCTAATGGTAGTTTCTTTATTGGTATCAGCACTCTAAGCATTCCTTAAATCTTCATTTGGAACAATACCAGGCCATATTGGCGGAGTGGTCCTTGGAATGGTCAGATCTTTATTGGCATGCGAGTAAAACGTAATTTTTTCCTTTTTTTTTTTTGATGGAATTAATCTTGTGGATGACAAAAAAGGTAACTTTTATGTCATTTATGCTGCTACACAATGGGCTGTCTTGTCCTATTTTTTCCTGGACTCGCAAAGAAAACTCACAAGACGAGATTTGGATGAAGGGAAAGGGGATTGGAACATTTCGTGGTCTCTTCAAGAAACTGAATGCGACGTTTATGGCAAGTGTGGGGCATTTGGTGGTTGCAACTCTAACAAACCATCAATTTGTAGCTATTTAAAAGGGTTTGAGTCCGAGAACATAGAGGAATGGAACAGGGGAAATTATCCTAACGGATCTGTGAGGATTAAACTTGTGCAATGTGAAAGAATAAACATTGGCAATGAATCTGGCAGAGAAGATGGGTTTTTAAAGCTATAGAGAGCCAAATTTCGAGACTTTGTAGAGTGGTTAGCTACCCTAAAAGACAAATGCAAAGACCAATGTCTAAACAATTGTTCTTGTATTGCTTATACGTAAGATCCTGGTATTGGTTGTATGTCATGGAGCCAAAACTTAATTAACATACAAAAATTCTCTCTCGGGGGGATTGATCTTTACATTCGCCTAGCGCACTCAAAACTTTGTAAATTAGTTTATTTTGTGTAAAAAAATTTTACTATTTATTCAGTTATTTTCTTTTGTAGCTAAGGCTTTTATGTGCACATGTACACACATGGAATTTTTCAGTTAATAGACATAGAAGTTAAAATTTAGGTTTCTCTGTCATTCTGTTTGGGCTGCAAATAAAACAAAAGACATACAAAGGATTATCATAAACGGTGGTAATAGGACTTGTTGTCATTGCCATCTTTACATTTTTCTTATGGTGGTGGATGGACAAACATAGAGGTAATGTCCACTGTAATAATGGTTCAATACTTTGACTAGAGCATTTTGTTAAACTTTTTAATACTTTCTGTATCAGCTAAGAAAGACATAAGTGGAGAGCAACTGATGTTCAATACAGGGGAAGCACAACCAAAATTTTTAAGGGATGACATAGTTTGGGACAACATAAATGAAGATAAACCTATGCAGCTACCATTATTTAAAATTGAGGAGCTTGCAATTGCAACAAACAACTTCAATCTTTCAAATAAGCTAGGGCAGGGTGGCCTTGGAGCAGTGTACGGGGTGACCTTTCCTTGAAGATCCAATAAGAGAACAACTTTTGGAGTGGAAAAAGCGCTTTAATATTATTGACGGGGTTAGTCAAGGTCTCCGTTATCTTCACGCGGTTTCTACCTGACAAGTCGTAGCAGAAAACTATAGGTGTTCAAGGGAAGAAATTAGAAAAATAAAGCTTTTTTGGCTGTCAACCAATTTTGTGGAAATATAAAATGTTGACGAACACAACACCAGATGGCACCCCTGGTGTTGTCTTGCATATAGATAGGCTCTTTCCGAGAGCTTTCTTCCTGTGTTTTTTCAGCAGGCTGTTTCCAGGAATTCCTAGCAATGCCATCAATTTGGTCAAATCAAATTAAATAATTAATTTATCAAGATTTACTTTCAATCACTAAAGTGTGTATCATGTTCACTGAGAAAGTAGAAGTCCCTTAAATTCTTGACACGCCGGTGGGTGGGGAGTTGATCTATGGATTAAAACTAAAAAAGATTGACAAAACTAAGCTATTACGCAGTGTTTTTCTCATTTGACTACTCATTATTCAAAATGGAGTACCACGTATTTCCCTAACAACTTCTAATGTTTCATACCTTAAGTTCTGAATAAAAGATCAATGCAGACTATAGTCAAACCGAGTGAAGACAATTTGTGCATGGCATCCTTAATCGTCAAGAAAATCCAGCTACGACCTGGTACAAATCTCTACTCTGACAATTGTAACTTAATCTTCAAGAAAACAAAAACAGCATGTGTACAGGGCCAGCATTCTCATGAAAAACAGAGTTATGGGAATAATCAGTGGCTCAAGATTCGTAGTTCTTCTTCTCCTATCCTGTTATTGTATAAAATTTGGCACCGCTATGGACACTATCACATCGTCTAACTCAATCAAAGATCCTGAGGCTATAACCTCCAACAGCGGGGTATTCCGGTTTGGGTTCTTTAGCCCTGCAAATTCTACAGATCGCTATGTGGGGATATGGTACAATATTGGCATTCCTGAACAATCTGTTGTTTGGATAGCCAACAGGAACAAACCCCTCAAAGATGACTCTGGGGTTGTCATGATAGCAGAGGATGGCAATCTAGTGGTTTCAAATGGACAAAAGGAGATTCTTTGGTCATCCAATGTAAAAAGTCCAGCAACGAATACAAGTGCTCAGGTTTTAGACTCTGGAAACCTTGTGTTGCAGGGTATCACTGATGGAGCAAGCTTATGGGAGAGCTTTCAACAACCTTCTGATACCGTCATGCCAACCATGAAAATTAGTACTAATGTAAGAACAGGTGAGAAAGTGCGGTTGACGTCATGGAAAAGCTCTTCTGATCCATCTAATGGTAGTTTCTCTCTGGGTCTTGAACCCCTCAACATTCCTCAAGTCTTTATTTGGAACAATACCAGGCCGTATTGGCGGACTGGTCCATGGAATGGTCTCATCTTTACTGGCGTCGAACATATGTATTCATTTTACCTTGATGGATTTAATGTTGTGGATGACAAAGAAGGAAATTTTTACGTTATGTTTGGTTTAGTTGGCAAGTCTTATTTATCGTATATATACTTGAATTCACAAGGAAAACTAATACAACGAAACTGGGATGAAGGGAAGAGGGATTGGAACATTAGTTGGTCTGCTCTGGAAACAGAGTGTGATGTTTATGGCAAGTGTGGGGCATTTGGAAGCTGTGACTCTCAGAAACAACCAATTTGCAGCTGCTTAAGAGGGTTTGAGCCCAAGAATACAAAGGAATGGAATAGAGGAAATTGGGCTAGTGGATGTGTCAGGAGTAAACCTTTGCAGTGTGAGAGAGTAAACAATGGCAGCAAATCTAGCAACGATGGGTTTTTGACGCTAGAGATGATGAAAGTGCCAGACTTTGCAGAGAGGTCACCTACCCTGGAAGACAAATGCAAAGAACAATGCCTGAAGAATTGTTCATGTGTTGCTTATGCATATGATGCCGGTATTGGTTGTATGTCATGGAGTGAAAACTTAATTGACATGCAGAAATTGTCCACAGGAGGGCTAGATCTTTACGTTCGGATAGAGAATTCAGAACTTGGTAAATTCTTGTCTTTTCTATTTTACTATTGCTTGAGTTATCTGCTTTTTTTTGCTAAGGTACAACAGTTTTCTAGTCGACAGAATTTCTTGGTATTCAGTTGTGGCTAGATAAAAGAAACTTAATGAACCATTTCTCTCTATTTGCAGATACGAAGAAAGAAAGGCATATGATTATCATAATAACAGTAGTTATTGGTATTATCATCATTGCCATCTCCACATTTTTCTTATGGAGGCGGATGGCCAAACAAAGAGGTAGTGTTCACTGTACTAATTGTTTCCTGGTTTGAAACCGTCACATTGGGTTGTAGCCGTGAATACACTACTTACTGCTTTCTGTATCAGTGAACAAAGTAAAAAGTGAAGAAATGCTGCTATCCAATAAGGGGGATGACATAGATGAAGTTAAACTCCAGCGACTACCACTATTCAAATTTGAGGAACTTGCAACTGCGACGACCAACTTCAGCCTTTCAAACAAGCTAGGGCAGGGTGGTTTCGGTCCAGTGTACAAGGTAACCGTGGGTTTTGAGCAAATGAGTCACATTTGAACTTCACTGAGCTGATTTTCCTTTCAGGGAACATTAAAGGATGGGCAAGAAATAGCAGTGAAGAGACTGTCGACTGGTTCTGGACAGGGGTCAGAAGAATTCATGAATGAAGTGCTGGTGATATCTACACTCCAACATCGAAATCTTGTTAGACTCCTTGGCTGTTGTGTTGAAGGAGACGAAAGGATGTTGGTCTACGAGTACATGCCCAACCGAAGCTTAGATGCGTTTCTCTTCGGTTAGAACATGCAGCATGCCTTCTCTAAGTTTTCCTTTATAGTCATGCAATTTTCTTTCCATTTGTACATGTTAATGATTTCATCTGGTCTGTCTTTGCTTAAAGATCGGGCCAAACAAAAACTATTGGATTGGAAAAAACGCTTCAAAATTATTGAAGGAATTAGCCGAGGTCTCCTTTATCTACACAGAGATTCTAGATTACGGATTATTCACAGAGATTTAAAAGCAAGTAATATCTTACTAGACGAAGAAATGAATCCAAAAATCTCAGACTTTGGAATGGCTAGGATTTTTGGAGGCAATCAAAATCAAGCCAACACAAAAAGGGTAGCCGGAACATAGTAAGTAGACAATTCTTTCACAAACTAAGTCAGATTTCATCATTACTCTCTCTTCTAAGATATGGCTGTCTTGATATTAACATGCAGCGGCTACATGTCTCCCGAATACGCCATGGGAGGACATTTTTCAGAGAAATCCGATGTTTTTAGCTACGGTGTTCTATTACTGGAGATCATTAGTGGGAAAAGAAACACAAGTTTCTATAACCAAGAGCATTCCTTTAGCCTTTTGGGATTTGTAAGTTTACATGATCACTTCAATAATAATAGATTAAACTTTCAAAGAAAACAGTTTCATAAACAAGATAATATTTGCAATTTTCAGGCATGGCAGTTGTGGAATGAAGACGACATTATGGCATTACCGTATACAGATCAATGTCATTTTCAGGAAATAAAGAGATGTATGCATGTGGGATTGTTGTGCGTACAAGAATTTGCAAAAGATAGGCCGACTATATCTACTGTTATTTCAATGCTAAACAGCGAGATTGTAGATCTTCCTACTCCAAAACAACCAGCTTTCATTGAAAGAATGATTGCAGTAGATATAGAGTCCCCTCAAAACAATCAGAATAGATGCTCTATAAATGATGTGACTGTTACCAATGTCGAAGGCCGATGAAAAGCAAGTTCTGAAAATGTGTATATATTTTACATTCATGTTACATAGTTTATTTGATGATTGACTGTTTTGAAGTTTCATAATTTGGCTAATACCTTTGCACACTTCAAGCATGGAAACTGTGGAGGTGGTGTTTGTTCTATGCTTTGAGAATAAAATTTAAAGCAGGATGCATTGGATAGCACTAGGATTGGCCAAGAGACTACCTGAAACAAAGCTATTAGCCTGATATCAGAAAGGACACAGGTTCCATAAGTACTCAATCTCAATTTGATCTAAAATCTTAAGCTGATGAATTGCGGCAAAACCAACATATCTCATAATATGAACTACATGACCAACATGAAAACAACCTGTTAAAAACCACTAGTTCAAAAGCTTAAGGTCAATTGGGTGCAGTAGAATGGCTTGGTTCCATACTTCTAAGTTCTAACACAGCTCAAGTATAAGATTCTCAAGTAATCCGTGTACCTAACAAAGAATAACAAACTTAAAACTTAAGCTAACAAGTGACAGAAGTTCAACTAAATTTGTTTCTACCACCTTCAATGGTGCTTTCAGATCATATTCATAGTACCAACTTTATATGGGTTGCAACAAAAGCAAAAGCATATTTTGCTGAAGAATTATTCTTCTTCCATTATCGAACTCCACATGCTGGCCAGCATCAGAATCTTACAGGTCGATACTTCAAACTCTATATTCTCCTATAAATTCCCTATGTTTCATCACCCATAATATTACTCCAAATCAGTATAGATTACTCCCAAAGTGAATGCCACACCAAATAAAAGTGCTCTTCCTTCCTAGTTGCATATATAGCCTGACGCCTACGACTCCTGGTAAGTTTGACATAATTTCTAACTTTACCCTAAAAATATCTAGATGCTTTTCTTTATCAAGTCATTTCGGAAGTAGTGAAGGAGGATGAAGGCGGAATAGGAAACTCTTCTTCCTAAAATAAGAACCTATTCATCTAATGCCATAACACTCGAAACGAAGATGACATTAACACAAATGCCAAAAGCCAAATAAATCCACAATCCACAAAATTAATTGACATAATATACAAGAAAAGGATAAATAAGTAATGGGAAAATTCATGTATTAAAATTATCAATAAAATTTGATACAAAGTATATCAAAATATGAGCTTAATAAAACATCAAATATTTAAAATGTACCTATATTTGGCACCTTCGATCCTTAATTTTCACCCCCTTTTTGTTCTTTGCGCACGACATCCAACAGAAAATCCGTTATGACAGACTCAAAATCCGGCATTTTGACGTATCCCGGAAAATAATTAATATCAATAACTAAGTGATTATCCTTATTTCTACCATCCCTAATCACATCAAAATTAAACAGATTCAACCTTAATTCCTCCCTTAGCCCTTTCACCAACTCCTTCACTAAACTCTCCGGGGGCATTTCCGTCTTTTCAAAGTCACAACCTTCCCCGCCACCGCCACCGGCTGCAGCCAAATTCGAAACCTGCGAAAACGGCAACGAACCTTTCAAATTTACCAGTTTTTCCTCCGAAATATCCGGCAACGACTTCCGTTTCACGCACCGAAAATATTTCCCAGCCACGTAGACTTTAAAAACGACGCCGTCGTGATTAACGAACTCCTGTAAGACAAACGGCGCCGTTAAGTTCTTTAACCCTTCGTTGTCGAAGATAAGATGCAATTTATGGGACGTCTCGCTGCCGTCTGCGTCTAACGGCTTCGCAATTAACGGAAATGTTAGTTTCAGATTTTCCAAATCAGTAACTTCCGCGATGGCAATTTGTTTGGGGACTCCGGACTTTGTTATTTTCAGTTTCGAAACAGTTTCGAGCATTGAGATTCTGTTGTGGAGAATCTCGATGTAATCTGGAGAATCAATGATGGGGATGTTAGGGTTTTGGGAAGTAAAGTCTTGGAGGTTTTGTTTCCAATCTGATCCGTACAATTTGTGGATGATGCAGTCGAACGGTCCTTGTTGGATTAAAGGTTTGTTGGTGTCGATTTTGGTCAAAACAATTCCTTTTTGAGAGGCGTGGGAAAGGAGGGAAGGCAGTATGAAGGTTTGCTCCTTTTCGGAGGTTAGAGCGTAACCGATTCGGTAGGGTTCTAAACGTAGATTTGGCATGTTCCGGAGAAGGGTCTGTTTGGGAGGCTAGAAACTACAGAGAGAAAATGGACGTTTCAGACTTGCAGTGCAAAGGAAACGTTACTTGCTTCAGTGGTAGAGAGAGAAGGAAAAAGAGATGGAAAGAGACACGTGGCAATCAAGAACCTCGATAGTAGAAAAAGGGTGCAAGATTACGTAAAACGCACACCGGTGGGTCGATTGTTTGGAAAAGCTAAAGGAGGAGAAAAGGGGTAAAAAAAAAAAGGAAAAATATTTAAATTTTTTAAAAAATTATTTTAAAAATTTTAATTAAAGTTTTATATTTTATTTTAAATTAAATAAATTTTTATTACCATCGATTAATTATATAATAAATAATATACACCTATATTTTTCTATCCACTTCATATCACAACACCGTTACTAATGATTAATTAATCAATTATTAATTAAAAAACTCTATTTCATTCAAAGACGAGAAACTTTAATTACTTTACTTCATTCTCTTGTAAAATTACACCCTCATAATACTTTTTCTTTTTACTTTTTCATTTACATTATATTGATAATGCATAATTATAATAGAAATTTTAAAATAAAAATTGTGTTTTATTTTACTTAAACTATTGGGAGCACTGTATTTTTTTTTTTTTTATCATTTCCCTTCATTAAAAAGATCATGCAAAGTGTCCACAAAGAGATTCTCTCAAAAATATGATGGTTTTGGTTTTTCCTAAAGCGACTATGCTGGAGACGGAGATCTTTCAAGGAAAATTTTCATGTATATGATAAGGGAGATTTAGAGCTTATCTATGGTTCAAGTTACAACAACTGGAGCAACTATGATTTGGTAACCCTGACACTGGCTTACCACCAGGGATGCTTCAAAAATTGCTCTTGAAAGGGGTTGGAGAAGGAGCCAATGAGACTGGCTTGAAGATGCATTTCTTATAATCGGCTCCAGCAAAAGGTATATTTCTCAAGAGATCAATCAGCAAGCAAATAAGGATAGAGAAGGATAAGACAACTTCCATATTCCGGTTATGCCTGCAATGGAATAGCTCCATTATTTGCATGAGCAACACCCTTGACCTTCTTATGTGAGAGCGAACCATCTGCAGACTTGCGTGATTTCCTCTTTTTTGCGGATGCCTTCTCTTTCAGCCCTTTAGAAACTTGGTTTTGATCCTCGTCAGCCTTATCTGTTAAAGGCGCATCATCCATATCCTTCCCAGAATGCAATAAAGACCTAGTCTTCAAATCACCATGAGTTACTGGTCCAATAACGGACATTCCCATTAGAGTGTAGTCCAACAAAAATGTGCTTCTGATAAGCCTGTCTATCCTGCTGAAATGTCTCTGAGAATATGGAATAAGACCTCCAAGCAGTTCGCCAATTCCTTTTATCTGGCAACATAGTTTATTAAAGCACTGATTCAGTGGCTATAAAAATTATATCAAAGTAAACATTCCGACAATTTACTAACCAAGTGGACACCCTAAAAAATAGCCAGTATTACCAGCATGCAGAAATAACTAAGCTCAAGTTTAGTCTAGCTATTGCACAAGTTTATTCTCGCTATTGCATTTTCGAATAACCTTTTGCTTGCAAAAAGCGCATTTAGATGCAAGACTAATATTAAGATTCAACATCCACGAACAACAAAAAGCTAGATCTTAACTTCATATCAAATGACTATGTTTGAACTGAAAACATAAATTAACCATTTGTTCATCTTCAATGAAACATGACCTTACTGACTCTCCTCTGTTTCCCCTTAAAACAATTTTCAAAGAAGCAAAAACAAGCAAAAGAAGCAATCACCAATGAAGCCTAAACTTATTTCAAGGTGCAGTAAGCTATAGGATAATGGTTTTCCTTAATGCGTTGGTTCAAACTAAGCATCGGTTGAAGTCAAATTTCTTTGGTGTCCAAACACATACACATCTCTATCACCAAAAGACAATATTAAACACCAAGTGACTATTACAATATTCTTAAGATGCTTGATGCTTCTCATTCAAAATTGAAAAGCTTCAGTCCACAAAAACAGTGGGGACAAAAGAATAACCTCAATTATCTCTGTTGGAGGAAGAATGTTGAAAGCTCGGAAGAGAACAAATTGGGCAATGTGACACAGCTTTGGCTTTGTATTCCATTCTCGTGCATACTCAAAAAGTAGATGAAATTCTTCTTTGCTGAGGGCATGAAGGGCTTTGTCTATCTGATCCTCAGCCTCTCTCTTCCTACATAGCAGTCAGTTATGAGAAAATGTTCTATACAGAAATAAAGAAGCACATATATGAGGGGGCATTACTAACCTGCAAAGCCCAGAAAACAACTCAAAAAGTTTATGAGGCCTCCGGAGCTCTAATGCAATTTGAATTGCCCTCGTGTACTCGGCATCTAATACTGCATTTTCCAATTCTTGCCCTCTCAAAACCCCTTCTTCCTGTGTAAATGGAGAAAGATATATAAAACAATTTCTATTAATACATAATTTAAACAACAATAATTTTATCAAGGTAAAAAAGGCCCTCCAAATCACACTAAATACTAAAATTGACAAACAACAATGCTAGTGTCCTATCAAAAGCTAGCTTGACAAAATTTCTAACTCCCAGGCACCAAGTAACTACAGAGTCAAGGAGTCAGTCATAACAGGAAGAAAAGAAAGGAAAAATAATCAATATTTGGGCTTGGTCAGGTGATGAATTTGAGATATGGTAAATATTATTTCCTTTCACTTTCTATTGTCTGGTTAAATAAGTTGACAAAAGAAAAGAGAAGTGCTTACAAGGCTCTCTAAATGTTTAAAATACTATTCTTTCTCTTTCCAGTTCTCCATTTTAATTTCTCTTTAGAAAATATACCAGCAGACATACAGAAATCCTTTACTTTTTCGTTTGTAACAGCATATTCCAGGTAGCTTAGAAAATTTCAAGAATCAACATTAAAACATACTTGTTTGCTACAAGTAATTCACTCACTTGGTATGTCCAAGGGCCTGTACAAAATTTGTCCCCTCATATGTTCCAAACTTACAACAAATGATACCAAGGCACCAAAAGTATAGATGACAAACCTCTTTACGGAATGCTTCCTCTTTATCAGCTGCAGTTGAATCATGCCATAGATTGATCACTGCATCACTGCCACCTGTTGCTAACATTTCTGTCCTTTTGCCAACAGCCAACGCCCAAACCTGCAGACCAAATTTTATAACAAAAGAATTAATGCCATGTGGTTTCAACTTCCTCCATGCAAAATCAAGCCTGACTGAGGTACGTAGCTCTTAAAAATCTATTGATGGTACATTATTGTAATATCCACAGAACTTATGCAGATCTCTGAAAAGAAATAAGTCAAGATATACGTATGTAGCCCAAACATTAAACCAAAAAAAGAGAATAATTCAATACCTTGTCCTCATGCTGATCATATGTAGAAATGCATTCATTTGTTTTGATTGTCCATAGCTTTACCAATCCATCAGCACCTAAATGGCGAATGACATACAAAATGTCATTAAAACGTTAAAACAGAAGAAAATCTAATCAGTAAAGAGAAAGATGCCGTTACCACAAGATACAAACTGGGTCCCACGTGTAAGAAATGATGCTCTTAATACACTTGATGTATGTCCTTCAAACGTTTTTAAGCATGAACCATCGGCTATAGCCCATATCTTTACAGTCTTGTCACCTGATGCTGTTATGACACATTGATCAACTGGTGAAAACTCTACAGACCAGATTCCTCGCTTATGCCCTATAAATTTAACTACAGACACCAGATCTGGAAGCCTCCAAACACAAGCAGTACGATCCTGATTGCCAAAAAATAAAATATTATACCATTTTACAAGTCTTTTTGGACGAAAGGAAGCCTCCAAGACAATATATCCTTTTGTAGTTTCACCCTCTTCTCATAATAAAATAAAATTCAATAACAACTTGAAAATAAGATATCGGTAAAGATGCATCGTCTACTAACCTGAGAACCACTACAAACTAAACTGTCATTTGGGGCAACAGCCAGAGAATTAATATCTTTATCATGCGCTGCTACAACTGCCTTTGCTTTTAAATTAATAGGCTGTTCGATGTCATCTGAGAGTCCATTCAAGCTCCAAACCTTAATGGTACGATCACTGAAGAAGATACATATGAAAATAAAACCATTATCGTCCCAAAAAGAAAAGAGAATAAAATCATTAATGTCCAATCTTACCAAAATTTTACAAACATCAATTTTTACATCAAAAATTACAGAACTCAGGCACTACTGTTGCATTATATATTACATAAGAGACTGAAAATATACAGATATTATGATGCCGGAACATTCCAGATTTAGTCTCAATAAGTAATGTCCAATAACAGCAACATTTTACAACAATCAATTGTTATATCAAAAAATTACAGAATATAGGCACTTCTGTTGCATTAGATATTACATAAGTGACTAAAAGTATCCAGAGATTATGATGCAAAAGCATTCCAGAGTTTATCTCAATCAGTTATCTTGATATGTTTTACTTTATATTTGCTGTTTTGCTCTGGTAAATGGGTAGTAATTATAAATTTTAATTTTAAGTGGTCACATGACTAGCAGGTGATCTTTTAAATGAGTTTGAATGACTAGGATTAGAGGGCTTATTTATGTCCAACAGCTGGGATTAAAAGCTTCTGAAACCCTAGTGTAAATAGTCCTTTATACTTGGATATTATTGTTAGAGGTTCTACAACCCTAAACCCTAGTTTTATTGTTCCAACTTCGATATTTTGCATCAATTTTAGCCTCTGTTGTGGTTTTCTTTCACAGTTTTGGTTTTCTTTTCTTATTTCTACTTCCACGCTGCCTTAGATTGTTTGGGTAAAATATAAATGTAACATGGAGGACAAAACGAGAATCTTATAATGAGCCTAGTTTAAAACAACCATCCCTAAACTAATTTTCAAGCAACCATGAACATGTAACATAACTTACAAAGTGCAAGGCCCACAATTCATCATGAACACATTTCCTCTACTGTCCTATACAAATACTCCAGCCAATAAGCTAAAACATAATTTTACTATCACACTACAAGCCAACTGAATTGCCAGACAATTTTGAAGACATTCTCCACTGTGCATGTTATGTTCAAGTCAACTACAACCCAAAACCCAATTTCATTTATCCATCCAAGAGCTTTCC